GGATGACAGCTCATGTGACCTTTAGGGATATAAAAAGTGGATAATAGTGACAGAACTCTTTAGATGTGTCCTCAGATTTATTCATACCCTCCCATTAAAGACGGGAAAAAATAATGAAATGAGATGAAATTGACAAAAGTAATAATAAACATTTAATGAAAATCATGATATTGCTTTTGAATTGTGGTTCAACAGAAATATATTTTTTTTTAAAAAGCAACCAAGCATGATGGGACCTGTAAACTAATATTTTGGTTAACTTTAAAAAAATTTTTTTTTATTCTTTTCACCCACAATTCAAAAGCAATGTCTTATTTCACTAAAAAATAATTTAGCAAATTTGTATTTATTATTACTTTTTTCAGTTTCTAGTTATCTGCGTAAAATATTAAATATTAAAAAAAAAAAAAAACATGATGGGACCCGTAAACTAATATTTTGTTGAACTTTTTTATTTATTTATTATTTTCAACCATAATTCAAAAGCAATGTCTTACTTTACTAAAATATAATTTAGCAAATTTTTTATTATTACTTTATTCAGTTTCTAGTTGAGTAAAATATTAAATATTTTTTTTAAAAAAACAAAAAAACAACAACAAAAAAACAAGCATGATGGGACCCCTAAACTAATATTTTGTTGAACTTTTTTTGGTAATTATTCTTTTTAACCACAATTCAAAAGCAATGTCTTATTTCACTAAATTATAATTTAGCAAATTTTTATTTATTATTACTTTTTCCAGGTTCTAGGTATTTGAGTGACTGCTGTGAATTTTGCCTTTTCTTTAATGGAAGAATAAATTTGAGGACGACTGGAGCTCTCCCTATTACTTTTAATTTAACAACACTGTCTCTTCACCACTAACACCTTCATTCTCAGCTTCCTGTGTCACCTGAAGGAGACAGACTGAGACGCTGAAGCCATCCCGTGTTATCTGGTGTGTGCTGACACCTGGTGATGGCTGCAGGTCGCTTCCTGATCGACAGGAGCACACATGGCCTCGTC